TCAGAATAAAATCAGAAAAAAATGAAAAAAATCTCAGAAAAAAATCAGAACAAAATGCAAAAAAAACCCAGAAAAAATCTGAAAAAACAAAAAAAAATTCTGAAAAGAAAAATAAAAAAACCCCCCCAAAATCAGAAAAAAATCAGAAAAAAGCAAAAAAAAGCAAAAAAAATCAGAAAAAATCAGAAAAAATCAGAAAAAATCAGAAAAAAATGCAAAAAAAATCAGAAAAAAATGCAAAAAAAATCAGAAAAAATCAGAAAAAAATCAGAAAAAAATCAAGAAAAATCAGAAAAAATCAGAAAAAAATCAGAAAAAAATCAAGAAAAATTCAGAAAACAATCAGAAAAAAATCAGAAAAAAATGAAAAAATCAGAAAAAAATAAAAAGAATTAGAAAAAAATCAAGAAAAATTCAGAAAAAAATCAGAAAAAAATCAGAAAAAATCAGAAAAAAAATCAGAAAAAAATCAGAAAAAAATTTTAAAAAATGAGAAAAAAATCAGAAAAAATTCTGAAAAATTCAGAAAAAAAATCAGAAAAAAATGAAAAAAAAACCCAGAAAAAAACAGGAAAAAATCAGAAAAAATTTTAAAAAATCAGAAAAAAATCAGAAAAAAATCAGAAAAAATCAAAAAAAAATCAGAAAAAATCAGAAAAAAATCAAGAAAATTCAGAAAAAATAAAAAAGATCAGAAAAAATTCAGAAAAAATCAGAAAAAAATCAGAAAAAAGTCAGAAAAAATCCGAAAAAAATCAGAAAAAAATCAGAAAAAAATCAAGAAAAAATCAGAAAAAAATCAGAAAAAAATCAAGAAAAATTCAGAAAAAAATCAGAAAAAAATCAAGAAAAATTCAGAAAAAAATCAGAAAAAAATCAGAAAAAATCAGAAAAAAATCAAGAAAAATTCAGAAAAGAATCAGAAAAAATTCAGAAAAAAAATCAGAAAAAATCAGAAAAAAATCAAGAAAAATTCAGAAAAAAAATCAGAAAAAAATCAGAAAAAAAATCAAGAAAAATTCAGAAAAAATTCAGAAAAAAATCAGAAAAAAAATTTAAAAAACCCCAAAAACATCAGAAAAAAATCAGAAAAAAATCAGAAAAAATCAGAAAAAAATCAAGAAAAATTCAGAAAAAAAATCATTTAAAAATCATAAAAAAATGAGAAAAAAATGAGAAAAAATCAGAAAAAAAATGAAAAAAAATGCAAAAAAATCAGAAAAAAAAGCCCAAAAACCCCCAAAAACCCCGGAAAAAAATGGGAAAAATTCTAAAATTCTTTAATTTTGCCCAAATTTGTGTTTTTTTGCCCCAATCACCTCGTTGAGATAATCCTCCAGGTCAGCCAGGATCCTCAGGTAAAATCTGGGAACTCCATCCCTGTCCACGACCCCCTTGGCCTTGGCCCAGGCACGGCCCAGCAGCTCAAACTCCTGGGAAAAATGGGGAAAAAATGGGAAAAA